ATTGGTCTGGTTAGTCATTCTGAATAGGATTTCCACCCTTGATAAAGTACAGAGATGGAATAGCTCGGTAATAAATGTTTGTCCTTTGTGTTCCTCTATGGCAGAGTCAAGAGAGCATCTCTTTTTTGTATGTTCTTACTCGCAGAAGATCCTTCAGGCTGTATTCCCAGGGAGGAGTATAGTAGGAGCTACCTTGGAGGAGTCATTGGCTATTGTTATATCTCTTTTTCAAACTAAAAGCATTGCCTCTGATAGTGGCAGACTCCTATGGGTGATGGAGAGAAAGATGCAGAAGGGTTATGTCGGGTGAGAAGTTGACAGTAAGCCAATTGGTTAAAAGGTTGCAAGGATTGCTGCAACTGCTAAGGAGTGGCTTTCCCTCAGTTGAAGTTGCTATCACAGAAGACTATGTTAAGTTTAGTGTAGTTTGATTGATCTTTTTCCTTGTTGTTTTTTGCTGAATGTATAGTTAATTTTCGTGATGTTGTAACTGTCTGTTACTTGGTTTCCAGTTAGGGGGATTCCGCAAAAATCCCCCTTTCTTGATGAATAAAACATCTTATTCATAAAAAAAAAGAGTCTTTCTAGCCATTAAATATGCTATTCTATTACTCGATATTAAAATTGCGGCACCCATACAGCCGATTCCTATTGGCCCACATCCACACGGCATTGGTCAACATCCCGAGAACTAGAAGTCGGAACCCAAAATTTCAGTTCAATTCCTTTGCAACCAACTGTTAGCCAAAGAAAAAGACTCCAACCAAAACTTCATTGGAATATCGTCGAGCATGCATCCAATCAAATAAGTATGGTTTATTAAAATGCATTAAAAAGGGTGGTAAGAAGCTAAATATAGCTTATGGTTAAAGTGAAGATGGAATTTGGGGAACTAATAATTCATATTTTAGAGATTGGGAAGCTAAAATTTAGCTGGTTAGAGTTAGTATAATAATGAGCTAATTTAACTAAAACTCAAATCCCCCTTTCACTAAAACACCCTCATTCCACCGGACAAAGAAATATCTCCGGACACAGCCAAAATATGTTAATACCTGCTTTATTAGATTCACAAACATACAGATTCTGTTACACCGACATAATCCAAATTTGTTAGTTACAACATCCAGTGACTTCTATACGAAAGCGCTACTTACAAAGCAATGCTGGAGATTGGTGATGTCGCCCGATTGGTTACAACTCCTGCCAATTTATATGAATCAAACTCACTCGTCCCTATAACTTCCACTACCTAGATTTTTCAATATGGAATTTGGGTCGTCTTCAGCATCAAAAACTAAATGGATCGGCTTCATCCTCGTAGACGCGGCAGTCGCTGGTACAACATTCATCCCTCAACAAAAGGGAGAGCTCGGCTGAAAAATATCAAACCCCTCCACTTCTCTCCCTTCAACCAAAAGGGCAGCAGTCTTGCATTACATGAAGACTAGTGTGGGCCCGGCTAGTTGGCCGGAGGAATGTGAGGTATGAAATTTGATAATGTAATGGGTGTATAGTTTATTGTTGTATAGTTTTTTTGGAAAACACGTGATAAAAATAGTGAATTTTAGCAGGAAAGAGAAATGAATGATGCAACGAATCAAAAATCGGCCTTATTTACCAAAATCAAGTACATGTTACCTTGTGAAACAATATTGTTTCTGGTAATATGATGAGGTGGAGTTAGTTTTATAGAAACCGAATTCTAGAAAATCGAATAAAAAATCGCCTATCCCGTTGGTTTTCGGGAAATGAGCATCTCACAATCGTTGCTAGCTTTTACTCGGCCCGTTGGCCGATTAATTTTCTTTATAAAACTTTCATCTTGTCGTCATTGTACTTTCTGGTTTTTGTCAGACCATGATAAAATCTAAGGAAATCAAGAACGAACAACACGATTTGGGATAGGAACCGCCATTGTCGTATCACTAGAAAATGGTGGTAAACACGGATTCACCTGCCAAACTGGTTTGGATTGAGATTTTTATCGGGTATCAGGGAACCATGTAATTATAAATTAGACCTGATCAAAACATGCCAAAACTTGAAATTCAGCCTGTTTGACCGACTCATGCCAAATTCTAATTATTCTGTACTTATAAATTTTCTATTTGAAAATAAAAAATAGTGAAAGAAAAGAGTTGACTGCAATTCGCCATTTGCACATCACTTATTTGGGAATAAAACCATAGAAATTCAAAAGGAACTGAAAATGTTTAGGATCGTTTTAATGTTTAAAATAAACAAATAGATCTTTCTGTTTAGTTTTTTACTAACAAATACCAAACGATTCCCTATGAAATACACTATAATTTGATCATTATGATATCAAATAATTATATAATATATATTTGAAATGATTAAAATTAGACTAATTGGGTTGGTCGAGGTTGAACCATTGAATAACTTTAAAATACATCATATTTTAGCCACTAAGATATAAAATAATAGCATAATATATATTATGCCGGAGAAAATAGCTTGTTTTACAATGTCAAACCAATGATGTTCATTTGTTTTACTTGATGGCCAAATCCCGTGTAGGTCAGGCCTATTCAACTCTTTTATTTTATGGTTAGCAGTTAGCCCATTAAATACGATGCATTAGTTTATTGTTAAATTTTTTATTTTTAGCAATAAAAAGAAGTATTGTTTTTGCCTTTTCATATATATTTTATCACCACGGAGAAATAAAAGGGCTTAGAGAAAAAAATTGACAATCCTGGACCCATTTAAATCCGCATGTGTACGGTAAGTTGGCCCGTTCCACAGAGGAAAGAGAAAAAATTTGACACTCTCTATTCTACCCTTCCTACAAATGCTCCTGGAGCAGAGAATTTGAAATGGGGGAAGAGTTTTTTCTCCCTGCTATTATATGTTTTTAATTTAAAAAGATACAACGAATGTACTTAGTGTGATTGGTAATGATCCTTGTTTTTCTTTAAAATGGTCATGTTTTGAATCCCAATACGTGTCTTTTTAATGAATAAAAAAAAATAATTGTGGAGACCAAAATATCCTTCCTACATTCACTCTCGTTGCAGGAAATTTGAAATGGAGCTCCCGTCTTTCCCTTCCGCGAATTATATTACGTGTAGATACATAAAAGACCACAAGCTTCTGCTGAAAAAAAAGCTCCACGGAAACAAGCCAATCCACTAATAGAAAAAGGCTGCTACAAGCCAACCCACGGAACGACGACGGCTGAATGGCGGCTTGGTTTGCAGGGAATCAGAGTGAGGGCGCCGTTTCCATCTCTTGCTTTCATGTTCAAAGAATGAAAGAAGCAAATCGATAAAATTGTAACTTGGAATTTTTTTTTTGTAACTTGTAAAAAAAGAAAGAGCTAATTATACACTCTAGTGTCTACACTAATGTTATGTATATATAAAATATGTACGGGTATTTTATTTTATTTTATTTTTGAACTAATGTTATGTTTAAAAGTACGCCAATAGTCATGAATTTAGAAAACTAATTATTTTAAAACTACCTAAATATATAAATAATAGTTAAGTTAGCAATTTAATTCATTAAATATGGATATTAAACGTGTTATACAAATTTTATATGTGTTTAGTATGAGAGTCATCAAATGAAAAGGGAAAAATGAAACGACTTGACAATAATACGAATATAGAAGATAATTTTGATCAAAATAAGACATTTTATAAATAAATAAAAATATAAATTAGAGTTGACCATTAATGATAACAATCAAATATTTCTATCCCACTTCAGTATTTTATGTTGAAGCGACCGCGACATTGCTCCCACTTCAAAAAAAATTCCTGAGATATTCTGGAATCAGAACGTCCAAAAGTGCGTCAATAACTTGTCACATATGTCCCTCTCTCCCTTCATCTCTCCGTCCTCCAACTCCTCAATAGCAACTTGTGGCGACACATGTATTACAATTTACATGTGGAGCCATCTACAAAATTCTGGTTCTCTTTTCCATCGACTAGCTTGATCATCAACATCTGAGCTTTGTTTTAGTTCTTTTTTTTTATTTCTCGCTAAGTGTTCCAACTCCTCAATAGCAACTTGTGGCGACACATGTATTACAATTTACATGTGGAGCCATCTACAAAATTCTGGTTCTCTTTTCCATCGACTAGCTTGATCATCAACATCTGAGCTTTGTTTTTGTTCTTTTTTTTTATTTCTCACTAAGTGTGTACATTTCGTAGATATATAGGCAAAAGGATTTATTGCTAATGATTTGACACATATGATGTCTATATTTGAATTCAACTTTACATTTATTTGATTTTTTTGCATTTGAAGGAGGTTGAGGCCAAGAAAACAGAAGATTACATGGAGGTAATGGAAAGAGTAGAGGAAAAAGTAGCAACCACCATACGGGTGCTGGTGGTGCCCATGATGTCAGCTTTGAGAATCGAAGTAACTCTTGGAGGTGGGTTCGCTAACTCATGCATACCGTAGGGATAGACGAGACTGTGCTTCGAGAGCAAGTCTGCGACTCTATTCCCTTCCCGATACGTATGAGTTAGGCGAACCAATCAATCTTTGTTGATCTTCCTGCGAATAGCTGATAGCAGAGTAGCATAAGGGTGAATCGGATCGTGGCGAGAGTTGATGAGGTGAAGCGCAAGCTGCGAATCAGTCTGAACCTGAACTACTCTGCAGTCGTGCCTCCGAGCAAGGTCGAGTCCAAAAGAGAGTGCCCAGAGCTCCGAGAAAACCGGCAATGTTGTGCCAAAATTGGCCACATATCCTGCAATCCAACGACCCTCTGAATCGTGCACAACCCCACCCTCGCCCACTGGCCCGGGGTTACCATTAGAGGCTCCTTCTATATTAATCATAACCCAGCCATTTGGGGGAGGTTTCCAACCTATTTCCTCCTTAACTCTGCTGGCTGGCCGACACCTATTACTTGGGAGAAGAGGCGGGGCAATCCAAGAATTGTACCAAATCCTTGTCTTTGCCATAATTGAGTGCTCGAGGGAAGGAAGTGTTGAAAAAAGCTGACCATGGTATCCCTGACTCCAGGACGTTCGTCTTCAGTAGGTTTAAGAGGAGCCAGGCCTTCTGCTCTAGCGAGAAAAAGTTCTGCTGCTGCCCTTCTGGAACGTGACGAAGCCAGAAAAACATGGTCGGCGGGCAGTCTCTATGAGTGTGAAGGATCGTCGTCTATGTCGTCCCCGAGCACTTCGAAAAGGATGGGCTCGACGTTGCTTTCCTGTGGAAATGAAGATTATTCGTAGCTATCTTCCCAAGTGTAGTCTGCCACATGTAGGGATGGCAATTACCCACCCATGGGTAATTATACCCAAATCCAAGTAAACCCATTAATAATGGGTTAGGTATGGATGAAGTGTATATGGGTTTGAGGTTTGTAGATAGGTTGGGTATGTGTATGAATATTACTTCCATAATCTAAATGGGTATGGGTTGGATATGGATATCCATTTACTTGAGGGTGTTTTAACTACACATGCAAAAATTGGACCTATTTGTAAAACTTGAAAAGTTTAGGCACCAAAATGTTAGACCAAAAAAATTTAGGTACCAAAACATAATTTTCCATCGATATTTTGAGGATTTATGTGCAAAAAAAATTAAATTTAGGTACTAAATATGCATATCTATAAAGTTTAGGTACCAAACTGTAATTTATATTTGGGCGTGGGTACAAACCCATATCCATTTGTTATAAACCCAACCCAAGTAAATGGGTATGGGTACAAACCCATCAAACTCTACCCATATCCATCTATTTGGATTTCATACCCAATCCAATTGTGTTGGATAATAAAAAACCCATGGGTATGGGCAAAATTGCCATCCCTAGCCACATGAAGCACCAGACTCTTTCCGGGACCGCGAGGGTCCAAATGATCTTCCAAATTTTCTCATCGGGATCCGCAGGGTCAGTGGCGGACTTAGTATTGTCGGAGAGGTGTGTTGCCGATAAAATAAAATAAAAATAAATTAAATTAAATAAAAAAATTAAGTAGAAATTAAAAATAAATAATTCATAAAGTTCACAATGTCATGTTTACAACGTATCGCGATAACTTTTCATCTGCTGAAATGTCTCTAAAATACATTAATCACTTATACTGCAAAGAAAATCTTTTTCAATATACACAACTAAACAATCATTCATAAATTGGTCACTCAACCGATTTCGAAGATCATTCTTGATTATCTCCATAGCTGAAAATGTTCTTTCGCAGCTTGTCGTTGCAACAGGTAATGATGGGGAGTTAGTGGCCGCCTGGACTATTAGCCATTAGGCCTGTGGGTCTTTTTTTCTCTTTTAATTATAGGTGGAGGCCCAACACACATCGCACATATATATTGTATGGGCTGGGAGTTTTTTTTTTAATAGGAATTGATAGGATTATGATTTATGAGTTATTTTAAACAAAATTAAAAAGGATTATGATTAAGATTGATTTATTTGGATAATAAATTCTTCGAGTACAATCAAGGTGTGTCGGCTATAATTATTGAAGATGTGTCGGCTATCTCGAAATAAAAAAATTTGTACCAAAAATATGTAGGTCCTTCACAAAATTCTCGAGCGAGGGTGTGTCGGACGACACACCCTCCCTTGCCTTAGGTCCGCCACTGTGCAGGGTGTTGGTTGAGAATGCCATAGGCTGACTTAATGGAGAACTTCCCGTCCGAAGAGGCAGCCCAGAACAGAGTGTCATCTTCAGCTGTGAGCGTGTCAACCGCCACACTAAGGATGTTCTAGCAGACATCAATGGGAAGAATCTCCTCAAATAAGGATAAGCGCCAACTGCCATCAATCTCCACGTGCTCCGCTACCGCCATGTGCTCCATCTCCTCCGATATGTGACCAATCGCCACGTCCTTAAGGGGTACCTGCAAAACCCACGGGTCCACCCAGAACTTAGTAGATTTTCCATTCTTGATATTCCAAGCACATCATTTTTCAAGAGGGGAGCAGCTTTAGCAAAGCTACTCTAGGTGAAGGAGCTTCCTTGAGTAGGACGAAGAAAGTCCAAATTATCTCGCTGTCGTCCATAATTTGCCTGCATGATTTGGAACCACAGCGTCTCTTTCTCCTTGATCAGGCGCCAGCCTCCTTTAGCCAACATGGCCAAATTGGCTTGTCTGGTAGGTCGGATCCCCACCTCGCCATTCTTCTTCGGCATCGCCATTTTGTCCCAAGCAACCAGATGCATTTTACTCTTGTTCTCCTCCTCGACCCACACAAAGTCCCTGTTCAGCTTATCAATACTGCGACAAACACCACTGGGTATGAGCTCAGTATTCATATTATACACATGAATAGAGGCAGAAACCGATTTCACCACCGTGAGACGCGCGGCAAAGGACAAGCGTTTTGCTTTATAAGGCGCGAGTTTCTTCTGAATTTGGAGGAGGAGAGGCTCATATCTCTCCCTAGTCACTCGCCCATGAATCGTCGGGATGCCCAACCCCACACTCAATTGTTGCTTGTCCCTAAGCAACGACTCAAACAACACAAACATATAATCATCCAAAACAATGACACATTACAGACTCAACAATCAAACACTCAAACAAAACAAAACAAAATTTTCCTTGTACTCTTGTTGTAATCAGTAGTTTCTTTCTCAACGAACAAATTGTGCTCTAATGGTCATACCTTTCACCCCACACTCAAGTTCTTTGCAACCATTACCATTTACTGACTCAAATCCATCAAAAACTCAAATAGCAACACTCAATTTCGATTGTCAGTAGTGGGTGGTTAACAACTTATGGTGCAACAATTATTAGGAGAATCTAACCACATCAGTGAGGTGCATATCTCGTGAGGACAGTCTGGCTTACTCACACCAATCATAAGCAATTAATTAAGCATGAGTCTCAAAAACTAATGGGGGAAGCCTTTCGCAAACATGATTTTACTTTAAGCACATCACTACCTTTTATGACAAGGAGAGGCTTTCTCTCTTTCTGCTTTTGCTTGCCGAGAAGTCGTATTTAGTACAAGTGGGATTTGTTTCTTACTACCGGTGACCGAGCAAGAGCAATTTCTTCTTTTTAGCACTCGCATAAGGGCTTCTTTTAACTCCTTTTCCTCGGTCCGTGTGGAGGGTCATTGCATCCTCTAATGGCACTTCACTCTACTGGGGATCGTACTTGATAAGCAACATCGTACGGTCACGAACCGATTCTCAATTGAATCTTTCCTCCTCCCCATGTGCAATGAGTGATTGCCTCACACGATTTTGGCATTTTTACCCACACTTTAATTGTTATGGCAACTTTCTTATATTTTACTTGTCGGGTAGTGTTTTCTTTTATGAAAATACAGTTCACCCCATCATAAAACATTCAAAACAGAGAGACTCATTGCAAAATCAATAGCTCACAATTGATGCAAGTAAGCACGCTATCCAAACATGTCGAATGGTCAATGTTCTCCACCTAACTACTTCACCAAAAGTCATTACACTATCCTCACAAAAGAGAATGTTGCTAAAAGAGTTTGCTCATTCAAAGCATATCAAGTCAGTCAAAACATTTAAGCTCATTATGAAGAACCATGCAATTCAACACTAGTGGGGTGATTTTGATGATTTCATTCAAGCACAAACTCATTTTCAAGGCATCACGGTCATTTACATCATGTTACCACAAGAGTACAAGGTTTTGTTTTTAATTTTTTTGATTTTTAGGTGTTTTTTGGCCATTAGCTTTGCACAGGCAGACTGCTTTTTACACAAGCAAACTGCATGCAGTTTGGCTGTGCTCAACCTAATGGCAATTTTTTTTGTTTTTTTTTTTTGGATTTTTTGTTTTTTTTACCGACCACATGACAAAAGGAACAAACAAATTTTTTTTTTTTTTGAACTTTTTTTTCTTTTTTTTTTTACCACATGCAACAGGGACAAACAACACTAAGACTCACCACCCCACACTCATGATGGAACATTGTCCCTAATGTTCAACTCCTAATCTAAACATGCACGGGTTTGACACAACTAAAAAGAAAAATAAAGAAAAGAAAACTTACCTTGGATTGCCTCCCAAGAAGCGCTTGTTTAACGTCCTCAGCCTGACGTTCATGGAGCTTTCAACCAATGGGTATGGAAAGGTATCCAGCGTACCCTCCCGAGCAATGATAGAACGCATAACCTCCATCCAGCATATGAGTCATCTCTGCAGGGCCAGGTGTGCGAAAATTTGGTATGACCTTCTTAGCTGGCATGTTAGACCCTTTAGTGAGGCGTAGGTGGTACTGCAGCGCCTCAAGCAAGTACTCTTCCTGTTTCAATGTCAGTGAAGAAGGAATAATAACAGGAAGATTGAAATCCTTACCCAAATATCTATACTTGAGGTGACCTGGCAAGGATTTCTGCCCTTGCTTTGACTTCAGAATCTGAGCAGATAGGATAGGTGATAGTTCTTCGGATGGTCCACTATCACAGGAAAAGGGATTTTTCCTTTCTCGAGCTCCACTTTCAAATTCATCATGATTATGGTCAACTTGAAAGACATTAAAAATTTCCTCCTCCTTACCTACTCGGAATGTCAACTTGCCTCTCCCAACATCGATGAGTGCATCACCGGTTGCTAGAAAAGGTCTGCCGAGAATTAGAGGCACTCCCCGATCATCTTCCATCTCCAGAATCACAAAATCTGTGGGGAGAATAAACTTCCCCACCTTCACCAATACATTCTCCACCACTCCTTTTGGAATTTTTACTGATCGATCAGCCAATTGGAGAGTGATCCGAGTAGGCTTAAGAACATCTCCCAATCCCAATTTCTTGTAGACTGAGTATGGCATCAAATTAATTCCTGCTCCAAGATCACAAAGTGATTTATTGAACTCTGTACCACCAATGACACATGGAATGGTGAAACTGCCCGGATCATCCCTCTTTTCTGGTAATTTATTCTGAATCACAACACTACATTCAGAAGTAAGGGTTACCTTCTCCAGATCAGCCCATTTCCGCTTCTTTGTCAGCAACTCCTTTAAAAATTTAGCATATGTAGGCATCTGTTCAAGTGCCTCCGCCAAGGGTATGTTAATCTGAAGTTGCTTGAAGATATTCACAAATTTCTTGAAGTTTGGGTCTTCCATGGGCTTCATTAACCTTTGAGGGAATGGTGCGGGAGGTTCATAAGGCTTTACCTCTTCATTCTTCAATTTTTCCACTTTTTGAGGTACACGGGCAGCATGCTTTTGCACAGGCAAACCGCTTTCTTTTTGCCTGTGCAAGGCTGG